TATATATCTATATATATATATATATATATATATATATATATATATATATATATATATATATATATGTGTGTGTGTGTGTGTGTGTGTGTGTTTCCAATTCCCCTCTTCGTTCCACAATAGAGGACAAAAATGCAAGATTATTTGATCAGAGACACACTTTCTGTGTTACTGTGTTGGCATTGCTACAGAATAGGATTATCTTTTATATCTACTGATAGGAAACGTAAAAAAATATGATATCTAAAATCTCTAAAATGTTCGTGTGTTAGGAGAGCCCAAAAGCAGGTTAGCAGGAAGAAGGCTTGAACAGAAAATATGGAGGTTAAAAATAAACAAACCTGAAGAACACGAGCATCTGAGAAAGAATGACTGCTAATACAAAAGAAAAGGTACTACACACACAAAAGGTAAGCAAGGAAAACATTAAATAACCTAGAGGTAGATCTAAACAAAGACAAACCTCAAGGGAATCAAGATATATTCTAACAAAATCAAGAAGAACAAAAAACTGAACTGAGGACACTATGAAGTGTAAAATTAATCAGCTTTAAGGTTAAACCCAAATCCAAGACAAACACACAAAAACAAACAACCTCAACTAAACAATCAAAAACTATAACACAAACCTGTTTCCAAATAAACTAAAACATTGCATGAAACACAAATGGTGACAACGATTTTGTAAAACCTTTAGACCCCAGTATGAAGACATTAGATTAAATGTTAAAACTGAGAAATCCTGATAAAGAAAACATTAAAACAAAGTCAGGAATAGAACAAGAACACGCATAAAAAGTGTAAAACCAAACAAACAAACTTTAAGTGGAACATTTCACAACTAATCATTTTGGTTTACTGTAGCTCTTTACCTTAAGTGAGTATAAAAACACTTTTGAGAAGTTTTAAAGTTTTCTGAGTGATAGAAACATAATTCAGAAACTTCGCTGATCTCAGAGCCTGAAGGCTGACGTCAAGTGTCATGTGATCTAATGATTACAACTTTGTGGAGAAAACTAGTCCTAAGTTTTTCTTTAAAGCACCATAAAGTTTCTTATCATCTCTTTGTACTCAATACTTCAACGTAAGCACAATATGATAAACGAACGCTCTCGGCTATAATAAAACTAAAACTTGCTAATTGTTTTCATTTGTTTATCTGCTCTTCCTACAGCTATAATAAACTTCCTCTATGTTTCTGTTAGATCTATGATTTGACCCGGTGACTTTAAACAAAATATTCTGTGCCGAACTTTTCTTCTTCTCCAAGAACATTTAGTAGACCGCTTCATCAAGTTTACATTCCTAAAACCTCAAAGCATTCTCCACCTCAAAGAATCTTAGTCTCGTTTTCTTGTTTCCATCACTCACACTGCAACAGCTTGGTGTCTACGAGCAGCTCCACGATCAGCAGCACCACCACAAGGATGACGGAGGCCACCAGGAAACAGTTGAAGCCCGCCGACAGCAGGCAGACCTGCCAGAGCGCCGCCCGTCGCCCGCAGCACGGCTTCAGCCAGTTGGACCTGAGTTCAGGGGAGACAGACAGGCGGCGGGCGGTGAAAGGGTGGCCACAAAGATAACGTGGGTTCTCACTTTAATACTGTAGTACAGTATATGTAATACTGGAGAATGAAGACTAGAAAGAGGGTGACTCTTTACTGCTAATTTTAAACAACAATTCTAATTCAAATAGATATTTTTCAAGTTGAAACTTGAAAAACAAGGAATGTTTATCAAGTGCTTGGATTAGTCACCCTCTTAAACTGAACATAGATAAATAACAATGGTGAGATAATCTTCTTGATCAAATACTTAAATTTACTGCTCCACCTGGGTGTATCCCAGGTGCGATGGGTTAAGTGCAGAGAGCCAATATCGTCTTTGTATGGGAACATACAATGAAGACAACACATAGCACTTTATTATTATTATTATTATTATTATATATTTCACTTTTTCTTTTATAAATTTACGCATGAACGTTATTATTTTTTGCTTTTTCTGAAACTTTCGATGAATTCATGTTTCCCTTATTGTTCCCAAGTCATCTTTGGGAGGTGATCCCCTCTTCACTTTGCCATGTGACAAAGAGATCAGTATACATTCCTTCAAGGAATGTTAGGTTTTTTATTTTGTATATAAATATGAATTGCACAATCCATGTGCCAAATAAAACCCCTCTTGATGAATCAGTGAGGAATCGGAAATGTCATTTAAGGAAAGCTACACTCTTTTATTCTTGGTATATTTTTCTGTTTGCATGCTTTTTCCTTGTCAAAGTAAATTTATTTGTTGTGTTCTCTTTAAGTCCAAGTTGCAGAAAAATGTCAGTATGGCCTTTAGAAAGTATCTGCTAACTGCTTTCATCCCACAACCCCCGACCTCAGGATGAAAGCTAAAAGCAATGCCTGTTTGTCGGAGGACAAACCCCCCCACCCCCCATCGGTTATTCAGCTCCATGGAAAGAAAAAGGCAAATCCTGAGAGAGGAAGCAGCAAGAAGCCAGTTGAGAAGGACTGGGGTTGTTCTGAAGGAGAACCAGAGAGGAAGGAGGAGGACATGGAGAAGGAAGAATTTTAGAGTACCCGGAGAAAACCCACACATGCAAGGAGAGAACATGCAAACTCTACCCAGAAAGTCCCCGCCCGGGATTTGAACCGAATATTTTGAGAAATATCTGTACACAAGTAGTATGTCTAAAATTACTACAGAATGGTTTGCATCCCTCATGCGTCACTGCTTTCAAAATAAATATAATTATGTTGCTGAATGGGCTCTAAACAGCAACAAAAAAATAACTGTTGTCACTGAAACTACAACAAAAAGTGAAACAATTAAACCAGATCTAAATGTTACTTTCTTTGCTGGGATTAAATTTAAAATATGGTAATGTAGAAAACGCAGCAAGTCTTAATTAATAAATGATATTTTGTAATTATGGGTGATGCTAAAGTAAAAGGAGGCAATCCAACTATTATTACTATTGATTATCATTAATTATTATTAACCATCAATTATTATTGAACATGTAGCATCAGGACACATTCTGCACATTCAGCAGCAGCATATGGCTACAGTTATGTAATTAAAGAAGGCGCTAAACTGACTTGCCCACAGTGCAGAACTGTCATCAAATAAAAACATTTGCTGAAGAAAAATGTCTCGAAAGAACTGCTATTAAATTCTATTTAAGCATCATTCTTCCTTTCACCTTCGACGAAGACGGTCGCTTCAGTCTTCCCTCCCTCCTGCTTTTATTGCTCTCTTGTCCTGTCAACCTCAGAGCTTCTTGTTATACATCTTCTGAATCAAAAATTGTGATGGATTTGGTCAGCTGGTCCCTCAACGCAACTGATAATATTTTTCCACCAGACGACAGGGTGCTGGAGAGCCCTCATGCCCTGAATGGACCCACACAGCTGGGTATGTCATTAATCCCTGGAGTGAGTGGAAGACAGTGTGCCTATCTGTTCTGTCCATGGAGGAAGTAGAAGATGTGTACATGATTGGATTTATGATAAAAGGGTTTCTGTTTTTGGAATCGGCAGATACCTTGGATATTGACAAATTAGGAAGACATCGGCAGCAGTTTCAGTTTCGGCCATGGTAACGCTGCCGGTCTTATGTGAAGGATTAATCTGTGCCTCAAGCGCTCAGACTCATATGCTTACCGAGCTCAACCGCAAGCTGGACGTGATTCTGAGAATCGTAGGCCTTGCGGCTCCTGGAACTCGCCAGCATGAAGGATTCAATCTTGGAGAATGCTAAATCGAGCACGGACTGGGTGGAATGTCCACTAATCTGGCTGTTTGGATTCACCACTGAGTGTACCAGCAGAACTTGCAGGCAGACAGAAAACAGTCTGACGGCCCAAACAATTGTTGTTTATCTGAATTTGACCTACCCACTGGCCTTGGACAGGCCGACTTAACTCAAATTTCTCCTGGAAGATATGTAAACTAGAAACTTCTGTTTGCCCCCTCTCCTCCCAAGGACATCTGTGGCCTTATCAAAACCATGATGTTGATAGACACTGTACCATCTTATCAGAACTTTGGAACTTTCTGGAGCGTCTATGGATAACTTTGTCAACCTCTATGCATTAATGTATTATGATGTCATTGTATGTTGCAGCTTTACGTTGCAAGATATTTTTTTGCATCTTTTATACTGTTTCCCAGCCAGGAAATGGTGTGAGACATGATTTTATTTTTTGGTTTCCTCCATCCTTGTGTTCTCTTTTTCTCATCTGCCTGTATGTTGTATATAACAGGTCTCTCTTGTAAATGAGTCTTCGAGGCTCAATGGGAACTAACCTGTATAAATAAAGGTCTAATAAAAAGTGAGCCAGAAAATATACCACATTTCTCAGATGTATTGTTCTGTGTTGTCATTGTAAAATTTCATGAAGAAATGGTTTTTCTGTTATTTTCATTTCACTTAGTGTTTAAAATCTTTTTGAAAGTTGTACTGTAATCAAGTCTTTAGGTCGTAAAAAATGGGAGGGTCCTTTGGAGTCTGTTTGCTGTTAACATGTCTAAACCTATCCATCCTTGCTGAAGGTCAGCAGAGATGTTGAAAGTTGGCAACACTTTAAACACTTGCATCCAGCGGACTCAGCCTACTCTAACAATCCACTCTGTGCAGCCAGCATTTGAGGAGCCAGAGGTGACAACAATGAGGTGAAGGGTAATAATTTCATTAGCAAATACTACAAAAGCCCTTTCCTACTTGAATCTGCCCCAGTAAAACAATGTCCAACTCCCCTATCTGCCAGGAGGGAAACCAAGGAAGGAAAAGCAACACAGTCACAGGGTGTTTGTGGACGAGCAGTTAAAAGATGAAGAGAGCAGCATAACAGACACACAGTTTAGCTGCAGGGTTGAAAAGCATGATTTAACTCATACTGTGTGAAATCATAATTCATTCAGACCTTTCCCCGCAAGCCTGGCAGAAAATGTATTAATTTAATAAACGTGTAAGGAAACTCCTCGCTGGAGGCAGAGTAAATGGCAGTGATGGATTACTCCATGCTCAGGAACTTAATTTTAGGCAAATCTCTTTAAACCTCAAACACTAAAGACCCAAAGTATTTATGACAAAGTGAGGTTGCTTCTGCGGTGGAGCCGGCTGAAGAAAGAGCAGCAGAAAAAATCTGCAGCTCAGGGTGAAAACAGGGTCACGTCAAAACGGGCGATACCTCAGAGGCTGCTCATGTGCACAGAGGTTTAAAGGACACCGTGAGTGAATAAAATGAAATATGCAGCTTAGTGTGTGGTGTGCACGAGGTCACACAAACTCCAAGCGGTCAGAGCATGCAGCGGTAACACACTGAGGGAAGATCAAAGTACATCTGGCAGCAAAGCAGAGTGAGGTGATTAGATCATGAAACTGATCAATGGAAGTGATGGCTTGCTGTAAATGATGCTGGACGCAGAATGGCAACACAAAATGGACATTATGCAGGATGACTGGTTTAGGAGAAAATGGCTGTTTTTCCCAGTGCGGCCACATCTGCGTCTGCGCAGACAAGACAGTATGGCTCCATCCCTGTAGTGTGATTGGAATCCTATCATTACCTCTTTCGTCATATTGTCTCCTGTATGACAAAACATAAGATAAACTCATTAGGTGAGTAAAAAAGAGTCAGAGAGGTGATGACCTGTTTGCATGAGTGTTTTTGGGTCAGAAGATGGAGCAGGAAAGAAGAATAAAAATCTCATCAAACATTTTTTGAGACAACTAACAATCCAGACTTTTCTGATGCATTGATCATAACAAACTGCACACATTACTTTCTTCCTTAAAAATGTTTGCCAAAGAAAAAAAACAAATCATGACTCTCACTGGTGCTCCAACACTTCCAGTAACTGAATTGTCTTAATTGTACTTTCACAACAGAAATAATAATAATAATTTGTGATACAGCCTTGAGACATGCTGCCTTGAAAACATCCATGACTGTGCTACAAATCTAAAACAGTGAAGATAAGCATTAACTGTTTGCTTCATTAATGTTTTCAAATAAACAATTTTAATGATTTTTACGCAAATTTTTTCTTGCCATTTTACTGCATTCCAGGAAGAACTATTGAATATACTCCCTATCACGTTTACAGGTGCTGGTCATAAAATTAGACCATCATGAAAAAGTTGATTTATTTTAGTAATTCCATTCAGAATGTGAAACTTGTATATTATATTCATTCATTACACACAGATTGATATATTTCAAATGTTGTCTTTTAATGTTGATGATTATAACTGACAGCTGAAACCCCCAATTCAGTATCTCAGAAAATTAGAATATTACTTAAGACCAATAAAAAAAAAGATTTTTAGAAATGTTGGCCAACTGAAAAGTATGAACAAGAAAAGTATGAGCATGTACAGCACTCAATACTTGGGGCTCCTTTTGTCTGGATTACTGCAGGAATGTGGCGTGACATGGAGTCGATCAGTCTGTGGCACTGCTCAGGTGTTATGAGAGCTCGGTTTGCTCTGATAGTGGCCTTGAGCTCTT